CACTCATCAATTACATTCTAGTAAACTATTATAGGAATAGTTTAGAGTAAACAAAACATTTTCACTACTACAAGAAATTACACCAGAGTCAGTTCATTCATGAGTCCAGACTACATGTTATATGAAGGAATACTTTACATGAATACTTATACATGAATACTTTTACATAAACATTATATGGCAAATTACTACTACATGTTATATGAAGGAATACTCTTACCTGAATACTTATACATGAATACTTTTACATAGACATTATATGGCAATTTAATATTACATGTTATATGTCTAGATACGGTTATATTGTTCGCCTTTCTATCTTTACCTTGTGATTCAATCACATCATCGACGAGGTAGACTGGGACTTTATCTCCTATTACCACATCATACTTTGAGGGACTAACCATTCCGACAACCACTGCTAGCTACAGAGGTAAATGAACAATCTACGGATGTTCTAGGTTGATACCATCGTGGGTATACATAAGGGACTAACTATTCCTACACCCGGCTGTTAGCAACAGAGGTAAATGAGCAGTCTACGGATGTTCTAAGTTGATACCATTTCAGGTATACTTAAGGGGCTACTAATAAGAGTTAAACAAGGAAAAACCATCACATTTTCAAGAGATACGTACTGTCAAAACAGTCAGGTCTAGGTAAAAGACTACTTTCAAAACATTCGAGTCTTGGTAGAAGACTACTTTTATACTAGTAGGAAATATGGGATTTTCTAGAGCTTTTCATACTTATACTAAATGTTTCATCATTCATTTACCAGTCTTTCATATCAACTAATCAAAGTAATGACATTAAATACTTATGAACTCACCAGCTTAAATGCTGATCTACTCTTTCAAAATAACTTGTATTCTCAGGTTACAAATAAACAGGTGTCGATACAAGGTTTAGAGAAGATGGAGCACTCAAGACTCGTCTTTTATTTTGATAAGTTATTATCATATCTTGTACAATGAAAGAAAACACTTGTAATTAAAATTATACTATTGATGCAATGGATGATGTTGTTGCTTGTTTACTACTTTACAATTGTTGTGATGCATACATGACGTCCTCCGCCCCAGAACGTTTCCGCCGTTCGTGGTTTTGGGGTGTGACATTTCAGACATGAGGTAGAAGAGAATAAAACTAGTGAAAAACTAGCCAAAAACTAATGCAAAAGACTCTCTTCTATACCCATGCAAAAGCAAAAGCAACTCCATGATATAGTCTAAAGTAATGACCTTACTTTAGATACATAGGGGACAAGGGATAGAGGTTACAAGCAACCTCCCACACCATCATTAACTTTTGGCCAAACGTAAACAAATAAGAAATATTCTTCAAGTTTTACAAACTCAAAGTTTATAAAATATAAAATTTGTCTTTAGCTAAAATACGAAAGTATCCAACTAGTCCAAAAGGTTGTGCATGAGTTATTAATTCATACCATATGAAATAATAACTAGCAATATTCTCTTATAATTATTATTTTGACAAAACATTTATTATTACCTAATTAAAGTCCACGAATTGATATTATTTTTTAATAATCATATTAATAATTGATATAGAAAATGTGCCAACTTTATAAAGGTGTGACCATATAGGATCATATATATTATTATCAATGTCACTCAATAATTATTATTGGACATATAGATTCAGCAATATCGTACTTGCACAAGATTCATTATAGAATAACATAGACAGTAGTTGACGTCTAGCAATGGGTTATTGCCCCTAACAACATATGAAGGGAGTTATCTCATCAACAGCCAATTCCAAGAGCTCTAAGCTACACTTATTACTAAGCGTATTGTAGACATCATATTAAACAGGACATATGGATCGTGATCAATCTCATTTAGTGTTTAACTTTGAGTAAGGATTAGATATGCCTCTCAACAAATAAGAATAACAAATCCCATCTTGACTACATATGCCTCTCAATGTAGTTCATGTCTTACCCAATGATGGCCGTTATCACTGCCTTTTATGGAACATTGTTCAACCATGTCAAAGCACAATAATTCCTACATTTGAAGTCCCAAATATGTATCTCAGGTCTTTGAATACAAAGTTACAATCTTGATCAAAACATCACGCGTGTCTACGATCCATAAAGTGACTTTGATGTGGGTTAATTGCAATACTTACTTTCCTAATCAAGTACCTATGAAGTTGGTAGCGAATTTTGCTAATCTCATCCCCATGAGAATCAACCAATCTACTTATATTAGTCTTACCTCATAGATACCCCCAAAACTAAGAACAATAATGGACATTTAGAAAAACCTGGTTATTCAAGGATTTAAATATGCTAATATAGAACACAATAATTATTTAATGAAAGATGCTTACCTAATATCTCAACTCATTACAATATATGTTGCTTGTACTGTTCCAATATCCAAATACTAAAATTCAGTCAAATACATATACTTGTATCAACAAAGACCTAAATAACCAGCTTGATGATCATGCTTTACATATTATGGAGGTATGTCAAGTAGATTTAGCAAACTTGATTTGTATAAACTTTGCAAACACAAAATTTTTCCATTATATGGAATATAATCATATTACCTAGTTTAAAACATTGTATTATCATTTTGAGGAATGCTCAAAATTAAGTCGTGTGGTATTTAATAAGATTGTTGGATTAGGTAATAAAGCCCATAACTATAATTGACAAAAACTTGAATTGATACTAGCACAGTCCATTTGGGTTGCCTTAATACCTGGCAACTAAATAGGATAATTTTTTAGAGATAGAAGAATGATTTATTAATTTATTACTTGGTTAATAAATTAATTAGAAATCAAAATAAATGATTAATTAATGTATTATGGAGATAATATATTAATTAGAAATCATATTTTTTAATTAATATTTAATCAGATATTAATTTGGAACTAATTTTGGGATTAAGGAATTAATTGAAACTACAGAGACATTTGAATGATTTTCAATTTGGGGTCTAGGTATCGGGGGGGTGTTGGGGCCAGATTACATCGTGCCAACATGGTGTTGAGTGAGCGCCACAATGGCAGGTCTCTTTCCATGCTTACCTTGGACTTCTCTAATTCCTTTAACCTTCTCAAAAGGTATACATTACTTCATGAGGTCGGATTAAGGAGCCCTTTTATATCCTTATGGGTGGAATTCTTATATGGTCAAGCAACATGATTGTATCTAGGAGACACATATATTTGGTCCACTCCTGGGCTTCACTAAGGAGAACTGTTGGTAACAATTTTGTTTTCCCTTATGTTGCACCCTCTCTTGCATAATATTAGTGACCATGATAAGCTTCTTCTCCAAAGCATTGTGCATAATTAAGTTTATTGGCTCAAAATTCGGAATTCAGCTTAATATAAAGAAAGCCAATGTCTTTTGGACCTCGTGTGATTGACGGAAGCTACATAAGGGGCTATTCCTTGTTGGCATACGGAGGGCACTGTTGGGGGTGAAACTTCGTAGGGGAGCTGTTAGTAAAGATGCTACTTTCACTAGTAGCATAGACATAAAGAGAGCCAAAAACACTTTAAATTTGATGCGCCTTCTTGCATAATTATCTAACCCCTAGAGTGAACTCCTTTTCCTTTGGTCTTGTATGGGTATTTCTAAACTTTTTTTGGGTTGAGGATGTACCAACCCGTTTACATAGACGAGGAAACATTATTCTTTGACTATGGGTTGTGTGGGGTGATTGAGGACATTTTGGTTTTCGGTAGCCCTTTTTTGGTGAGATACAATGGAGAATTTATTCCTAAGCCATTGGGTTTGGTGGTTTGGGTTTATACTCAGTAGTAGAAGTTAACTCATATCTTTTCTTAGCTTAAGGGCCCAATCTTGGGTATTCAAGACCACATCTTACGGTATACCAGCTTATATGGTTTGGATTCAAATTATGATTGTGCCTTGAATTCTCTGCGTAACAAGCTTTCAGATATTGATCTTGTCTGTTTTACTACTAAATACATGTCCCCTCCTCCCTCTCCTAAATCAAAACATACACTGGTGAGCTCATTTTCTAGTAAAATTGTCCAAGATATGGAAGTGCATCTCAACATGAGGTGTGTCGCACGACATGTTTAGATTCTGTTGGAGAGCATGCAGTTCACTGTAAGGAACTCTCGGGTTCAATTATAGGCACGATATGGTTAGGTACGGTTTTTTGACATATTTACGTGTGTTGGCGTTTCTACCACGAAAGAAGCACTTGTGAATTACTTGATTGACTCAACAAGGAAAGGTCAACCCTTAGACCACTGGCGTTTTAATTTTTGGATGGATTGGATGGAAATACGCTTATGTGGACCATACAGGGATATCCCCACTCGTGGGCTAAAGGGTTGGGGGTTTCACGGCGGACAAGCTGCATCAAATGTTGCTACATGAAAAGTCATCAAATATGAGAACTTGTACATGGAAAATCAACACGTGTTCATAGCATTTGCATTTGATACATTTGGTTTTCTCGCACCGGATGTGGTGGAGATTCTTAATAGAGTACAACAGATCATGCATAACAATTGTATATACCCTAGATCTATGGATGTAGTTTTCAAAAGAATTAGTTTTTTACCATACAAAAATGCATACTACTGTAGCTTGTTGCTCGTTTGTCATCTCGCTCTTTGTACGATGATAACTAAGACATTATTATTCTATAAAAAAAGTCTCTATTAAAAAAACTTAATTTTAGAAAATATTCATTAAGAGCTCATAATAAGTCAAGTATTATATGTTTGTTATATGTATGTTTTCATATTGTATTACAATAACTTATTTTTATATAAACTTTCATATTTACTTTTTTCCTTTCGCGTATATACAAAAATAAATAACTGCTATTGCAATTTCAATGCATCAAACCAAAATTTTCAAGTAATAAATTTTAAATAAAAGCCTAATAAAAATTCCGTTATCATATTTCAAAGCATCTACTTATAAATAGCCTCTTGTTTCTAAATCTAATCATTCCACTGGAACCTTTCACTACCTATCAAATGGCTTTCGTTAGTTGTAGGTTTCTAGTTCTCTTCCTCATTCTCATGGCTTCTTTTGTCTCCCTTTGTCATTGTATGCACCTTTCTCTATTTCTCTTTCTCTATCTTACATTCACACGAACACACATTAATTTCATTATACTGACTTTCTTATTTTATTGTTGTGATTCAGGCACATCAAATATTCTTGGCAGAAAGGTGGCATCGAAATCAAATATTACAAGAGAAAAGATTGTCGTTGATTTTTGCTTTAAATTTCATTGTAATTTTCCCACGGGATGGGAAAAATGTTACTGTTGTACTATATTGAAATCTGAACCTTGTTGGGTAGACCGTAATGTATGTGTGAAAAATTGTGTGGCTAAATAAGATATATATATTCGAGAATGAATGATAGATATGTAGAAATGGAAATGTGTTAAATTAAAGATATCATTTATCATAACTGTTTTCGGTTTTCAAAGGATAATACATTGTGCATTTGGTCCTCATAAAGAAAACATTCAAAATAATAAAGCATGTCCTTTAAGAATAACAATTCTTAAACTATCCACAATGCTGATCCTCGTTGGCCCATACCATTAGACATCTTGTCAAAATAAAAAAAAATAAAAAAATAATAGCTAATCTGCAATGAAGAGAATCACACTAGCCTAAGCCTTTTCCTTTTCTATTATTGTTCAGTAAACTTTAATTTAGACAAAATTTCAGTACTGGTCAATGTGGTTTTTATAACGATTGCAACTTAGTTAATCGTATACTAACTGGTGGATGTTCACCATGCTAAGAAGTGTCGATAAGAATTGAACTAATACTGTTCCTTTATCTTCTACTTTAGCTAAAAATAAATTGACCAAAGTTTATAACTAAAAGGCATCTAAAAAGTTAAAAATAAAAAAATTATGTATACAAATTGTTTTCTTATTCGTTATGATTTTGAAAGATCTTTTACTGATTCCGTAAAGGAGACTGGTAATCTTTGAAGTTTGTTCCAAAGCATATCCGAATTATCTGTTTGGATTCGGTGAATATAAATTTAACTGAGGGATTATTATAACAATACGGAGAAGGACAAAATAGGAATATTTTTGAAGTGTTTACCAATGGTGTGTAATTGTTATAAACTAAGAATGAGCCTCTCAGTTATTTCTATTCATGCTCAACCTAGTCCGTGAAGCTTCAATCGTTTAAGAGATAGGATTCCCACTATGCACAGATCCCACTTCTCCAATATATGAAAATTACCTACTCATTATCATGAAGTATGTTCAAGTGCCGATATATATATATATATATATATATATATATATATATATATATATATATATATATATATATATATATATATATATATATATATATATATATATATAAAAAATGATTCTACTTGTAAATGTTTATAATGGCAAGAAAATAGTTTGGGAAATGTAAGAACTATCAACTAGTTTTAGCATCTCCAACTCTGAATTTATCTGACAATATCGTACAACATAAGTGGAAAAGATTTTTAAAACATACAAAACTTAGATTAATTCACAATTCTTCTCGGTATATTTAGGTAACAAATTCAAGTTTATGAGAATTCTTTTAATGGAAAGTCATTTTAATTTTGGGTCGTTTTTTCTTATGCTTGGAAGTAATCTTCAAATTTTCAAGTGGTGCACTTCTCTCTCAATCCTTAAACTCAAAAAAAAAAATCAACGTATCAATAAACACCTACACCCTTATATTTATTATCCATCTTCCTGCTATGAATCCCAAAATCAAAACAATGGAGCAAATCTAAAAAAGAGGCAAAGTTCTTCTATTATCTAGAAAAACAGAACCAAAACTAGAACCAATACCTTACTTAGAAGTGACGAAGAAGTCGGCACCAGTTTAAAGATATGTGGACACAAATTTAATTAGATATGCACTTGCAGACCTGGATAGCAATTACGTAGTGGTGAGATGATTACAAGAAATGGAAAATTTTCGGAGAACAACATAACTGATTAGGAAAATCCATGAATAATAGTTAACCAAAAACTAGATCGCGTTTTGATCCTCTTTCCCTTGCATCTCATCTGTTAGAGAAATCATCGATGCCTCTCTCTCTCTCTCTCTCTCTTTCTCTCTTTCTCTCTCTTTCTCTCTCTCTCTCTCTCTCTCTCTCATCGTTGCGCCTCCTTTCATCAACCCTCTCACAGTTTTTCCTTATCATCTTCAAGCATAGATAAATGGAAAATCACAGCGGAGGACTGCATCCTTAGCAAGAGGATTGGAAGGAAACGAAGGGATTCTGAAAATCTCGAAGGAAAAAAAAGCCATAATGGAAAATCGAGGAGTGGAGGATCTTATTGGAGGATTGGTAGTGTTGGATTGGGTTTAGGATTTTGACGATGCTTCCATAGGTCATAGGGGAACCTCGAAGAGGCGATGGAGATAGTGAAGGCAATACAATATGAAGAAGAACGAACCTACCCGTGTGAGGATAGGTGACCAAGAAACCAGAACAGTTCATAAACGTGTTTAGAAGAAAATCATAGGCGGTGACAGCAATGGTTTAAGGGAAGATGACACGTTTGCCTGTAAATAGTGGCGTGGATGTCCCGCGGACCAAGGAAAATACCAAGTAAAAAACTACAAAAGAAAAACAAGTTAAACCAATAGAAAGAAAGAACTATTCCTAACACCCCGTTCTCAAGTTGAACTTAACAAGAGAAAAGAAAGGAAATGAATTGAAATGACAAGAAAGTAAAAGAAATTGGTGTTTCATTAAAGTAGGGAAATGGGAAGAAGTGGAGGGAAAGGAAAGGACCACTTTGCCTCCTAACTTTCTTTTGATGTATTATGAAGGATATCAGAGGGATATGGAGGATATATGGTACTAGGTGTCGCATCTACTTGAAATCGTTCATTTTGTCAAAAAAAATTGTACGTTTTCGGTTGTAAACCGTTCTTGGCCGTAAACCGTGTACGACCGTAAACCTCATCAACTTTAAACTCTTTTCGGTTATGAACCTTTCTTAGTTGTAAACCATTTTCGGTTATGATTGTTATTGTTTATAGAAAAAAATTATTTTTTATAAACTAAGAATATTAAAAAATGGAACCACCACACGGTGTTTTTCATCAGGAGTTTGATTCAAACATGGGAAATACCATAAGAATTCCACATCTACGGTCCGCCAAAGGATTTCCTGAATGGAAATACAGAATCGAAAAATATATCAAAATGAAAGATTTCAACCTCTGGCGCAACATTCTTAGAGCCCTGTTAGGATTACCACTACTCTTGAGAATGGAGCTATAATTGACAAATTAGTGAAAGACTACATGGATGAGGATTTTGAGAAAATTAAGGAACAGGAAAAGGCGCTGACAACTCTAAATATGGCTCTATCACCTGACATTGCTCAAGGCTTCAAAGAATATGAACAAGCTAAAGCATTGTGGGAAGGATTGATTGAGGTTTATAAGGGTAATGATGACATGAAGCAAAGAAGAAAAGATATGCTTCATCGAAAGTTCAACTAGTTTAACCATGTTCTTGGAGAATCTATTGAGGCTCAACTCCAACGATTCATTACACTCACCGTTGAAATGAGCACAATTTGAATTTTGTACCACGATCGGAGATTAATAAGAAGCTTTTGAACACTCTACCCATGTCTTAGGACATGAATGTTTCTGTTATCAAAAAGACCAAGGATCTTCAGTAACCTAGTCTTACTGAGACAATGGTTATCAATAAAGCATGTGATTTGGATGATAAGAAACACGAGATAAACCATGTAAACTCCTACTCCACATCAAATCTGGGCATTTCATCAAACCGTGCCTACTCTTCATTCACTGTTCCACAGACTCTAGCTTTCACCACTCCACAAATCCATGCCATTACACCAAAGATGCCTCATCAACACTCTTATCAACACCTCGCTTCTTCTTCAAAAGCTCCTATCACCACTTCAGCACCCAAAGAAGCTAAAGAGAATATGGCTCTAGCCTCCGATCTAGCATGTTGCTACAATGCTTTTGTAGCTGGAGACTTGCCTCCCCAAATTTCATTTGCTAATCTTAACTGAATTCACCCTGAGGATATGGAGGAAATGGATATTATCTGGCATATTGCAATGATGGTATTCAGGGCTAAACAGTTTGCCAAGAAGACATGGAAAAGAAACTTGGGCATGAATGCTGATAAGAAGGTTGGGTTTAACAAAGGGAAATGAGATGTTTCAACTGTCACGAGCCAGGTCACTTTGCTCATTATTTTCTGAAGCTGGATAGAAGAGAGAACCATGACAGGACAATGGTACCAGTAATGAACAACATAGGAACAACATCCAATAGTGAAACTACAAATTTAGCAGTGGCTCAGCCATTTGGCTGGGTAGATCAAATTCAAACATTGAACATTTCAGGGCCTGAGAATCCTCACCTGGAACAGATTAGTGAATTTCCTGTAGAAAATGTTGAAGAAGATGTTGAAGCCGAAATGATGCAGTTATAGTTTTCATTCATAGTATCTACCACTTTTGAGCCTGAGAAGAAAGACCTCAGTGACAATTCTTGTTCTAAAAAATGCATTGATACTGTTAAGTTTTTTGCGTGAACAAATTGATTTATTGCGTAGAGAACATGAGGACCTTATATACAAAGGCACCCTTAGAAAAGGTCAAAAACCCGTGAAATAGCAATTAGAGGCTAAAACCAAAGACTTTACGAAACTTCAAGAAGAGTATAGTAAGAAATGTGTGAATTATGATTATGTTAAGGAACAACTTGCGAGTTTGACTACTGAACTTGACACATTGAAATGAAAAATTGAAAATGTAGATTTTAATTTCAAAAAAATTGATTTGTCAAGTAACACAGTTGAGTCCATGATTACAAATAGTTTGAAATTTAAAGATAATAAGAAAAGAGGTCTAGGGTATGACACAGTTCCTCATCCATTTAATCACAGTTACACTCCTATCCCTATGACCAAAGAAGATATGGACAGAGAAGAACATTATAAATATGGAAAACCTACTATATTTGTGTCAGAGAGTAGTACTAGGGTAAAGGATACTAATGTTTCTAATTTATATGCAGATTTACTTTAATTCCGAGGCAAAAAAACAACTGGAGAAAATGTTTCTGATAATTATCTAGTTTTACAAGTTGATGTTTTATTTCAAACAATGATGTTTTTGTTTCTAATTTGAAAACTAATGTTTCGGTTTCTGATGATGTTGTTGTGAACACTGATGATTCAGATGTTTCTGATAAGTGTGGTTATGTGTCTGATAAATCTAAACCTCATGAATATGTCACTAGCACATACATTCCACCAAACCCAATCACTGAATCTGAATCATGCACATGCACATGTGAGAAAACTAAAGAACAAAATAAAGACACTAAACCCAAGAAGAGCGGTAACATTTGTTATGTAAACAAACAAACATGTTTTAACTGTGAAACCCCTGGTCATATTGCACGAAACTGCCCAAACCGTGCATTTCTTCCTTTTATACTCAAAGATGAGTGAATGAGTCATGAGGAAGATCTATTAAGAGAAAATCCTCGAGATCTCATTAATTTGATGTTCATTGGAACATCAATAAAGAAAGAAATCAGGCTAATCTTGAAAAGAAGAAACAGGTTTGAAACAAAAATGCAACAAGCACTTTAACGAGACTGAAAGTAGTTAGGCCAAATTCGGTATCATTAAGGTCATCATTTGGTTCTTCGGCTAGTTTTAGACCAAAATCCAAACTATCAAAACCAAATAAAAACATTTTAAAATCATCTTCAGATGTTTCTAAACTTAACTACAGATTGGTGCCCAAAATTTCAAATGTTCAATCACCTCAACGTTCTGTGTGTGCATCTGGTAATCAATTTGTTTTATCAAGTGAAAAAGTTAATTTTGTTGCTAATAAGGGAAAACCTAATGTTTCTATGACATGGGTTCCTAAATCTAGTTAATCCTACACATCGTGCAGGAACAACTACGGAGGAATATCATCAAATCTTGGTATATCGATAGTGGTTGTTCCAGGCACATGACATGAGACATCTCCCAATTACAAGACATTTCAAATTTTAATGTGGGTTTGTTTCCTTTGCAGGAGGAGAAGGGGGAAATATCACTCAGAAGGGTACAGTAACAAATGGTGTGCTTATTTTGAGAATGTTAACTATGCTCCTAAGCTGAAACACAGTCTGTTGAGCGTTTCTCAGATCTATGATAAAGGCTATTCGACTCATTTTATGAACAAAGAGTGTCTCATTATAAAGCCCAGAATAATCATACCTAAAGAATGGATTTTGGTTTGATCTGACAGAGAAGGGAATGGCTATGTTATTGACATGAATCATAACATTCCCGAGCAAGTCACTTGTCTTTTCTTAAAAGTCTCAGAACACAATGCCATGCTTTAGCATCTTCGTCTCGTCCATGATAATGCCAAAAACCTCAATCGACTTGCTAAAAATGAGATTGTGCGCGGTCTTCCAGTCAAACAACTCATAACCTTTGAAAATTGTGCGGTGTGTGCTAAGGGTAAGCATCATCGCAACCCACATGTGATGATTAAGAATCAGAGAAATGAAAAGGTGAAGGCGATTCGAACTGATAATGGCACATATTTCAAGAATGCAGTTATGGATTGTGACAACCTGAAATTTCCGTTCTAAATCAAACCACTTCAATCCAATAGAAGTACAGCAATTACAATGAAAATTCAGACTTAGAATATAAGTTTGGCAGTTTTAGGGTTTTACACCAAAAAGGGGTATTAGGAGAGTGGTTGCACTAGGATTTTGTGCAACACTGTAAATTCCATTATCCTAGAATCATTAGAATCCATTCCGAGATTAGAAATATTTTCTGCCAAAAATCTCAGGACTATAAATAGAACTCTGAACCAAATTGGTTCATTAGTTGAATTCCATTTAGAGAAAAATCCCATTTCTCTCTGACGGATCTTCGGGTTTTCATCCCAGATTGTGAGTCTACTTCCCTAGATGTTTTTTTAGTACTTGTTAGATGCTTTATAACATTGTTACATGTCCAAAATCATCCAAGATCACCACACTTTTGGAGTTTACGGCTAAGGGTTTCTTGGGTCGTAAACCCCATTTCCAAGGGACAAAGGTGCCCTAGCTCACCCCTTAAGCCTAAGGACATTAACCGTCATATGCTTGTGACCATTTTAGACACCAAAACACTTCAAAATCATAAGTTCATAGGAGTTTACGGCCAAGAACATTTCTTGGGCCGTAAACCCCTTTTCCAAGGGCTAAAAGTGCCCTAATCACCCCCAAAGACTTGGACTTCATGTTAGACAAGTACCTTAATGTTTTTAGGACCAAGATAACACATAAAAAGCT